ACTTCGACAAGAATGGAGAAATCATACTCAATGAAACAATGGAAGAAAGGTCCTGCTCGGGGTAAAGGCGGTCCACAAAACGCGCTGTGTCAATACCGCGGAGTCAGGCAAAGGACGTGGGGCAAATGGGTGGCTGAGATCAGAGAGCCCAAGAAGAGGGCAAGGCTTTGGCTTGGCTCTTTTGCTACGGCTGAAGAAGCAGCCATGGCTTATGATGAAGCTGCCCTGAAACTCTATGGTCACGACGCTTATCTCAACTTACCTCATCTTCAGCGGAATCCGGGACCTTCTCAGAGTAACTCGCAGAGGTTTAAATGGGTACCTTCGAGGAAGTTTATCTCTATGTTTCCTTCTTGTGGTATGCTTAATGTGAATGCTCAGCCTAGTGTTCACATTATCCAGCAAAAACTAGAGGAACTCAAGAAAACTGGACTTCTATCTCAATCCTATTCTTCTAGCTCTTCCTCCACCGAATCGAAGACTAATACTACTACCCTTCTTGATGAAAAGACCAGCAAGGGAGAAACAGAGAAGATGTTAGAAGGTGATGATGATGAACAGAAGAAACCAGAGATCGACCTGACTGAGTTTCTTCAGCAGCTAGGAATCTTGAAGGATGAAAGCCATCAAGCAGAAGCAAGTGAGGTAGCAGAGTGTCATTCGACTCCGCCCTGGAACGAGCAAGAAGAAACTGGAAGTCCTTTCAAGGCTCAGAGTTTCAGCTGGGACACGCTGATCGAGATGCCAAGAAGTGAAACCGCAACTATGCAGTTTGATATGCAGTTTGACTCCAGCAGTTTTGGAATCTACGATTTTGAAGATGACCTAGCTTTTCCATCCATCTGGAACTTCTGCGGAAGCTTAGATTGAGTTATAGCTACTTACCGTAGATCAGATTCAGAAGTACACATATGGTTTTAGGTTTAGTGTAGTGTTTCGGATTAGTGTAACCAGGGCCGCGTAACACGATGAGTAGAACCGGTGTCAGAGTGCAGTCTATTATTAAGCAGCAATAAAATGAGTCAGTGTACTTCTGAATATGAACGAGTTGTTCTGTTTTTTTGGAATGTTAAATTAAGCAAGTTCAATTTTACTCAATCCTTTAGCTCAAGAGTTAAAAAAAAGTAGTGAAGGTCACAGTCCTAAAAGAATGCAAATCATGCAAAAATCTTACCTATCACATCCCCTTTCATGGAGAACAAATCAAATGTCGCGAAAAAATAGAATAAACAAATAAAGAGCATGGATGGTGGTATGAGCAGATTTACCTGTAAACCATGATGTGCCTTCAAATTGACCAGCGCAAACTTTCTGTCGAGAAAAGAAAACGACAAAACGAATAACATAGAGACGCATCACATGATGCATGAGCACCCATCAAAAAGTTTCAACTGCCAGCACTGATCAAAATCTAAATAAAGTTGCAAACGAAAATCTAAGGGGAGGGATTTAGGCATTCTCCCCGTGACCCTAAGCGTAGAAGCTGTTCTTTTTGTTTCTGTTGACATCTTTAAGACCAGGTCTAAACAATATCTACAGATCGTCAACATGCCTAAAAGGATCTCTTATTAATGGAAGGAACAGAGTGAGATCAAACATGAAAGCGTAAAGTTCAAGAATTCAACAAACTCACTGCATAAACACAGAATTCCTCTTCATTCCAATATAAGAAACAATGAAACAGATACAGTAGTCATTCCCAAGCGAGTGAACATTTGCAGTAACTTGACACTTCATCAAATTTTCAGTCTGCGGAGGAACCAAAAAAGTCTAACCCTAAGAATCATTTATATATAAGGGCATCACGACCAGGCCCAATACCAATGTAATGAATGGGCACACCCACGAGTTCTTCGATCCTCTCAACATACTGCTGTGCAGCCTTTGGAAGATCAGCGTAATTTCTGATCGAAGAAATGTCAGACTTCCATCCCGGTAAAACTTCATACTCCACCTAAAAACATTTGCATAGATGACAAGAGTTATTAACAATCCACCAAAGATAAGAAACAAGCAACATTTCCTGACAATAAGAAACAAGTAGGTTTTCAAGACTTTCACAGATATAGGAACAAGTAAAAGCAAACGATTCACTTGCCAGGTAAGTATATATAATCAAGTTAATAACAAGAGAAGTTGCCCTATCCATTAACTGAGTCAGTCAGAAATTGTCGGAGCACTACACTTACTTGCAGTTCTTCGAGAAGGCGAAGATCACCAGGGAACGATTCAACACGGGTGCCATTACTCTTCTTATAAGCCACACCCAGCTGGATTTCGTCCAGGTCCGAAAGTACATCAAGCTTAGTGAGATTAAGTGACGCAAATCCATTGATTTGGCAAGAAAATTTCAGTGCAACAAGGTCAAGCCAGCCACACCGACGAGGACGACCAGTTGTAGTGCCAAACTCCTGTCCAGCCAACCTAAGAAGGTCACCACCTGGGCCCAAGTTTTCTGTTGGGAATGGGCCTGAACCAACTCTTGTAGTGTATGCTTTTACCTGACAAAACATGATCATCAAAATGCATTCATATCTCTTTCATTTATTGCACACTGAATGTTGTTAAAGAGTAGTTGTCAAACATATAAACAACATCAAATGCTACTAGTTTTCTAACAACATCAGTAAAGATTTGAAGACCAATGCAGAAAGAAGAATCTATGAGTGAATATCATGCTTACCACTCCAATTAGATCACCAACAGCTCTGGGTGCGATACCAAGACCAGTGCAGATCCCACCAGCAGAAGGGCTGGAGGAAGTAACAAAAGGATATGTACCAAAGTCAATGTCCAACATTGTAGCTTGACCACCTTCGACCAAGATCTTTTTCTTCTGAGAAATCGAGTCATTCATGAAATGGACAGTGTCAGTTATATAAGGCTCCAATCTCTCAGCATATCTCTTGTACGCTTCGACTTCTTCCCGAAGCATTTCTGGAGTATATTTAAACCCTTGAAACCTTGCAGCTGCATCTGATAGCAAAACGTCGAGCTTTTGAGACAAAGTATCCATATGCCTAAGATCACCTACTCTAATACCATTCCTTATCACTTTGCTAGAGTAGCAAGGACCAATTCCTCTCTTCGTTGTACCAATGAATGATTTCGCAAGCTCAGATTCCCTAAGCCCGTCGACCTCTTGATGGAAATCGAATAACAAGTGAGCACGATCAGAGACCAAAATCCTTCCTTTACAGTTAACACCATTGGCTTCCAAACCATCAATCTCTTTAAAGAGACCTGGCAAATGCACCACAACTCCATTGCCAATCACACAAGTCGTATCCTCGTTCAATATACCCGAAGGCACAAGGTGAAGAGCAAATTTCTTTCCCTCTGAGTTATATATAGTGTGTCCAGCGTTAGCTCCACCCTATGGTAAAC